CAATATAAATGTCAGACTCTTGCTTCAGGGTGATGCGATGTTTTGCCTTCAGTTGAGACAAATTGATAATTAATTGTTTAGCTTGACCAAATCTCTCTATTGACACTGCTCTATCAGTAAATGTTCCACATATACGTTGTGGGAGAGCTTCAGGGCCAGAAAAACAAATGCAAGGGACCTGTCCCAAACTGCTGATGTGAAGTTGTTCCTCTCCAGCCAGTATTTCCGGGAATCCATTCTGAATGACATCAGGAAGGCCCGTACCCTCTACACAGGCAAAGAGCTTGCGGCAGAGTTGGCAAGGATTCGACAGCGAGTGGATAATGTTGAAGTCTTGTCTGCTGACATTGTAATAAACTTGCTGCTGTCCTACAGAGACATCCAGGTATGAATCCTATGTTCTAAGATCATCTAAAACACAGTAAATTAAATTACATTCCCAGTGAAATTTTTCGTGTGTTTTGCACAGATTTGCTAACAAACTATATGAATAATGCACACTAGTAAAAATCTTTTTACAGTGTCTTCACTGATGCTTTTTACTTTATTTTGTAGTTACACTGTTTATAGTGTGCCTTTACATAGCGGAAAAGTGTTGTTATTTTATAACAGCACCTAAAAAGCACACAACGTACAATAACTCTTCTCCATCTCAGAATTACTATGTGATGAACAGCCAGTAGTGTGTCCTACTTAAAGACTATGGTAGATTCTGCTATTGATATTTGTATGTATTCTTTGTCACCATGCTTGTGACATTTCTCATGGAAACATAACATGTTCATATGCATTTCAGCTTCTGGAATGGTGCTAGTAATTGCTTACTTTGTTATACATAATTTCAACTGTTGCTCCTTAAACATTTTGAAGTGGTTTGGTTTTGGTTTTGTTTGATTGGTTTTTAAATATCTCAGAGAGTAAGCTACTTTAAAAACTGTGGTATTGAAAGATTCTTCTATTTTGTTTTTGTGGCTCATGCCTACTTCATAGTTTTGGGATGCCTTAATTCAGATGCAGTTAGCATTGTAATGTCTGTATAACATGAACTCTGATATGTGTTCAGTCCCTGAAGTTAACTTTAATCATGAAATAGATGTACTAAAATTTCCACAGGTCCACATTGAAGCAGTACAGGAGACCAAAGTGCGTTTCCCTGCTAAATACTGTGCATATTCACATTTCTGATGAGTGCCAGGCTATTTACAGTTTGAGACTGAAGAAACTGAAATCCATAAAACTTAAAATGAACTGAAAATACTTCTTAGTATGAAATAAGAGGTGCTTAGTTCAAAGAGGAGTTTATATAGGTACACCTCAGTACAGCCACCTAAAACTTCATTATTCCCTTCTTTTGGAAGGATTATGATTCCATTGTGAAACTGGTGAAAACTTTAGAAAAACTGCCTACTTTTGACTTGGCTTCCCACCACCATGTGAGGTTTCATTATGCGTTTGCGCTGAACAGGTAAGAATCTACCCTTCCTTCCACTGTTGAGCAGTAAATCAGAACTGCAAGCTTCGCACGGGGTTGGTAATCCCAGGTGAAGTTCCCTACTGGAATCTTCATATGCAGGTCTAGGGCTTTCACTGAAGCCACTTTGGGGACTCTGAGCTTTGTGATCAGTCTAAGCTTTCTTTTTTTCCTGTACTGTCAAGTTCCATTCCTTTTCCTTCAGTGTGAGTGTTTGATTTGTCTTTCCGTAAGTTGGCATCATTTTTTCGTTTGAGTACCTAAATCAGAGCAAATAAATACCTAGCAGTATTCTACCTCTGTAAAATACACTTTTAACATTGCTGTATGAGTGGCGGTGCTGCAGCATTTGTGCTTAGACATCATCTCATTCAAGTCTGAGTTCCGGTAGTGTCAGGAGACAGGAGGAGAACTTTCATCAAATGTCCATCAGAAGATTTTGTTATATTATAATAATAAACTCATTTTCATGTTCTCTGATAACATGCACAAAATTTGCCACATGGAGCAGCACACACTACTTTCTTGGGTTAAATGAGAGCCAAGCCTAGATTTTTTTCCTAGGATACTGGCAATTGGGCAAGGCACTAAAAGGGGAGTTTTTCTGAGGAAATTACAGAGGTTTTCTGCTCCCTTGCTGTTATCACAATGAACATTTTGCTATTGACGTTTAGAGGAGTAGACCAGGTATCAGCAGGCATTGAAATTCTCAAATATAGAAAATGTCTACAGATCTTTCTGCTTCTCAGATTTGAATACTGTAATTCAGGTTCACAGAGGAGCCTCAAAACTGCATATCATGTCAAAATAATGTCAAAATATGTTACAAGTAATTAGTTAAAAAAATAAAGCTGTTTTTGAAACAAAAAAACCCAAAAGAAAAATGAAAACCAGCTATCTGGCATTGTTTTGTCTGAATAAAATGTCCAGATCCTTTCTTGTTCCTTTATACCAGGTATATGAAGGTATAAATATTGTGCCGTTTTTGTTCCTGCTTTGCCATAAATATGTGGAGCTTTGCAGATGAAATAATCCAGCATGTATCTACCACTTCTACATAGCCTTCACAAAGGTCACTAGGTGTACCTTGGAGTTTTAACAAGTTGTTTAGACCTCAAGGTCACCATTTTCTAAAACAAAGTTGCCTTTGAAAACAGGACTTGACTAGTTCACTGGGGCACTAAAAAAACCTGCAAAACTGCAGTATAATCTTTTCAGGCAGATCCTTGTACTTCATTGGTTCTGTTGGGACTTCTTGCAGACTGAAAGGTCTGTTTTTATAGATGTGACTGTAATGTAGCCTTTGAGGGTATCTGTCATACAAAAGGTCTACACAGTACCTCCAAAGGAGTTCAGATCAAATTTTCCTCTCCCGCCCTTCTCCAGATTGTACATTCAACTGGAATCCATGACAGCCATGAAAATGTTCATGCTTTGGTGTATGCCAAGAAGGAATTACTGGGGCTAATTGTAGCTTTCTCCTTATTGGGAATATAGAGGAGGTTTCCTGGGCAAAGGCAGGTCTGGAATACTCTGCAAATCTGAATGTTTGCTGTGGAAGAAGCTGTCCCTCTTGCTTCTAATCCAGGTCACTAGTACGGAAGGATGGAGCTGCCAAATTAGTCAGGATTAGTCTGACCTAAATCAACAAAGTGTGCAAGGGCATTGATGATGGAAGAGTAAGCAGAAGGAAAAGTAGGGACCTCTGCAAGTAGTGACCAGCAAAGTGTAAAAGGCTCATATTACAAAACACTGTTGTGCCTTACTGGTTTTTTCCTAGTTAAGTTCAGCTAGCTATTGGTTTGATCTGGATTAGTCATAGTTGATACAAGATGTGGAAGAGTTATCCACCTGAAACTCCATTCTGAAAATTGCCCTTCTGTGATGAAAGCCGAAAAACATAAAGAAGGTGCAGACTTACCCTTGTTACTTTACTTGAGTGGTCGATATGAGAAGAGAAAACAAAAGGAAGCAAACCTTCAACAACTGGGCAAGCGATCAGTTGGCAGGGGAACCAGAATAACACAGACCTGAAGGAGACTGTTACTTGTTCCGCCAGGAGCACTTGATTTCTCTCCCTGGGGCCTGGGATCGGGAGCACTTGTCCACCTCAAATGAGTATACCAGCCTTGCTGTGCCACTCTAGAAGTACTTGGGGAGCCTCCTGCAGCTCTGTAGTCTGAGGGGACCTTTCCTAATTTTTTAGAATTTGACTGGTCTGAAGGTTGGGAAGAAATGGCACTGGGTTTCATTTGTCTTTCTCATCAGGCTGAGACATCAGTAGAGGTTGGCCCAGCACGTAGACTTGCACACTCCTTGTTTTTTGCTCAGGAGAGCGGTTTGTACTGTCTGCTCCAACAAGTGCTTTTGGTCTTCTTTATTTTTGTTATGATGCAAGTACTCATTCTTCCTCTGTTACCCATTCTGCTTGATTTAAACTTTTTCTTCCACATCACTCCCTTCTGGAGCTGCGTACGTGAGCTGAGAGCTCTGATCAAGTAGTATCTGCTTTAAGATGGCTGTGGCTTTTGATATGGGTTTTGGGTTGTTTTTTTTTTTTCTTTCGTTCTGAGGTAGCCTTCTCTTGCAAGCTTCTTCAGTGCAAAGCTTGCAAGACAGATACAAAACCACTTTTATATATTCCTCCCCAATTCAAATTGTAGCCACTCAAATATTACTTGCAATTTCTCCAAAAGAATATAATACTCTCCCCAAATCACTGAAGAAAGGAGTCATTGTCACTCATGTCACTTTTGCTGAGAAAGCAGTCATTGTTCAGTACACAAATACATAAAAAATTGTAAACTCTTGATACTGAATGATGTATGTATCCAAACTGTGAGTCACCAGGAAGTGTCTAATGCTTGCAATTATGTGGTTTATTTGTCTGAAGTACTTTTGTTAATATTACCTTATTGGCTTCACTTCCTAACCTTCCTTATCATGGGAACTCAGTCTGGTTTTTGCTTTTTGTTTTCTTTGCTTCACATTCAAAATGTATATTAAAAAAAAAAAATCACAAACACAGGATGGAATCTTTTTCCTTTAAAGCATGAATTACTATGAAAGAAGTATCTATTTTGTAAGAAAGTAACACATCATCTTTCTAAGAATTGCTCTTGAGGCTCTTGTTGCTGTTGTCAGTGCTTTGCTGTAGCTGATGCTTCATGAGAGAGAGAAAACATGTTTAGGGGCTTTTATAAAGGTGTCCCATAACATTGAGAAAAGGAAGGAGGGAAAAAAAAAAAAGGAAGGGGGGGGATTGTGTCCATTTGTCCATTGTGTCTAGAAGCACATTTTACATGGATGAAGTCATACGTATATATACAAACATGGTCATGAAAAAGTATTTCTTGTTGACTTTATTGGCTTTTTTAATCAATATTTTTATTTTTTAATAGGCGAAATCTGCCCGGAGACAGACAGAAAGCTCTAGAAATTATGATTCCCCTGGTAGAACAGGAAGACCAAGTAGCTTCAGATATGTACTGCCTGGTTGGTCGAATTTACAAGGACATGTTTTTGGAATCTGGGTTCTTAGATACAGAAAGCAGGGACAAAGGGACATTCTGGTGAGTACTGTTTTTCTGGTCTAGGTCCTTTTGTTAGCTTTGGGAAAATATTCCTTAAACAAGAATATATTTCAACTGTTTTTCATTACAAATATTTGGCATCCTTAATGAGGATGCCTGAATCTCCTAATTTTCTTCACTTATTTGTTAAGAATGAGAGGCTTATGTTGTTCACAGATCTGGTTCTGCGAAGTTCTTGAAGTGCCTCAGGGACCTGGGAGTTTAGGTAGCTCTCATCAGAGTGTATTTTCCTCCTTTTTCCCAAATGTGAAGTCTCCTATTCACTACGTCATTCTTAGGAATCTGGGCCAGACAATAATCAGGCATGAATCAATTGGCATATCTGCAATCTGATAGAGAGCAGCTAGCTAGGCTTAAAGGTGCTGAGGTTTAACTCTGCACTGATGCTTAGGATGTACCGTTCTGTGGTTTTTCTTGGCTTCCATGCTCACAAGCAATATGACTGTTCCAAACTCACGCTGGCAAAAGTTTTATCACTCCATCATCACCATATAGTAGATGCATATTACAGTGGACTATAGTACCATCGATAGTCCAAGAAGCACACGTTAGGCTAGAGAAATTCTTATCTTAATTTTAGAGGCAAGTATCATGTTTTTTATTGCTTTTGAAATGCACTAAAACACTGTTATGTGGAATAGGTTAAAAAATGGAGGCACTGGACGCCATCCTAGACTTCTGTCAGGATGAGCTGCTTTTCTCCATTATGATTCAGATGAGGAAACAGACAATCTGTGTTTTATGTATCCTGCACATCAAATTCTAGTTCTGGTCTTGTGCTCATCAGCTGCCTGTTGAAGTAAATGCTTAGAATGGAAAGCTTTCTTCTCCCTTTGTCATTTGTTTTCAGTAAACTTCAGACTAGAACTGTCTCTGGTAAAAGATAAGATATAATTGTTTACCATTTATGGCCTCAGAATACAAGTACAGTTTATAATTGCTGGTCATGCTTTACAGTTTTGCAATGCTTACTGGATTTTTAAAGATGTTGAAATAACAGGAATGCAGCATATTGCCGTCATCCCCCCACCCCCCGCCCTTTCATAATTTTGGATTAAAGAAAAATTTTATTTCCTCTAAGGCAAAGCTCGTACCAAACTTTCAAGATTCTGTTTTTAAAAAAAAAAAACATATTTTGCTCATGTCATGAACTAATATAAAAAGAAAACTGTAGTCCTGTGTACAAATACTAGACATTATCACAGGCTAAATAGAATAAATAGAAATTACTTTTGCTATTGTACATCTTGCTTTTTCCTCATTCATAGTGCCTTATGAACAGCTAAACTTTGAGATTTTCAAACATAATTGAACTAAGAACGATTGTATTGTATAATAGTTGTATTTACTTCTAGGATATTTCATGTAGCCATCTTGGCAATCATGATAGTCACACATTTGAGGGGAAGTGATTGCAGTCAGGCATACCAGCTTGGGAAGGGGCAGCAGGCTGGCAGCTCCTGCAGCAGGGTAGGATGCTGACCGGCCAGCCCTGAGATAATCCCTGAAGTCTCTGGCAAGTAAGACCCAACACAGACTGCTCCGTGCGCCTGCTGCCATAGAACAAGGTGATCTCTGTCAGTCAAGCTGGAGTTCGGCTGGAAGCTGTACTGGATGGGCCAGTTGCTTTTGGTTCGTGCTTTATGCTGGATATTGATTTGAGTTCTAGTGTTAGTCATACAGCATGCTTGACGTGGCTGAAGGCTTGACTCGTAACTCAGTGGAAGGCTCTTGGGAAGGAGCAGACCTACTCTAGTGCTACAGCAGGCCACGACGGGGGAAGGTGCGTGCAGGAACAATGCCTCCATGATAGTATTACTCGATGTTGAGATAAAGGTTATTATCTCAGTCTTAGAGAAAGGAGGATGTAGGAGAAGTATAGTGAATTGCTTAAGATGTATGAGAATTTGGCAGCAGAACCGAAGCATTGGTTTTGTAACAACTAGTGATGTCAAGGTACTTTGGTCTATTCCAACAAAAAAAGAAAAAAAGAAGAGAAATAGGCAGGCAGTGTGCTTTCCTGACAATTAAAAAGCAGAATAAAAGACATCTTTCATATAAATATGAGAGAAGAGATGAAAGATTAATTATCAACTGTCACTTTCTTGTTGCATACTGACAGTGTAAATCAGACGTACCAAAGCTATCAAGTCTTTATCCAAATCTTTTCACTGCTACCTCCCTAATTCAGTGTCTGCACTGCAACATTTTCCCGAACGTCACCTTTCGGTTTCTTGATGGCATTTGTAATCGCATCAGCTAATTTTATAGGCAGACTTTTAAATCTTACCACCTTTCTACGATGTTGCGCGGGTTCCTGCAGTGATATTTGGGGCATGACAATGTACAGCAATTGCACCAGTTGAATTTAAATCAGTTCAGTCAACAGACGTGACTTGTGAGTTGTTTGGGAAACCATGAATATTTTCATCTATTCAAAATTAATCATTACACGTTATTTTTATTTTTTGTCTGTAAATTTTTGCTCTCCAGGCTATGCGGATATAAGGCAGGTTTAAGAATGTCAGCACAGGATGGCACCAAATATAAAATTACACTTTTGATTATAACGATTTAGGAGACGTAAATAGGACTACAGAGGTCCCAGATACTAATATTTCTTGGTGTGAGTAGCATGTAAAGATGGCTAGAAAAATGAATTTCTGCTGTGGGAAAGGGAGATTTGGAAGCAATTTGGAAAGAAAAGGCAGAACCCAGGAACAAATATTCCCAGGATGTCCCTTCTGGTCTACTGAGGGTAGGTGGCAAGGTCCTGGCAGCAGGGGACTGCGGGGGTGGCCTCTGACAAGAGAAAAGGAGCTGCCCTATGTCAGACACAGCCCGTTCCAGCCAGCTCCAGTGGACTCATCACTGCCCAAAAGTGAGCGCATCAGCAACGCTAGTGGTGCCTCTGTGGTAACATATTCAAGAAAGGTTTTCTACGGGCTGTTTCACCAATGCTTCTGCAAGCAGTAACTATTTTGCAAACTTAAGCTCGTCTCCATCTCCTTTGCCTGTATGATTAACGTTGTTTACAGCACAAATGTGCCCACCTGTTGATAGGCATGAGAGATGCTTATTTGATCTTTAAATTTTGAAGTTTTGTATGCATCTGTCCAAGAACTAGAGAAATTTTGATAGTCATGCCAGAAATTAGGCATTTTGGGGCAAAACAAAAAAGTGAAAGTAGAGTGTCTCTTGTATGGGAACAAAAATACTTATTTTCAAGGTTTTTTTTTCTTCTTCTGTCAATCTTTGCTCTCTCCTTTCCCTGATACTGCGTGAGGATTACAGCATGAAAGATCTCTAGGGCAAAAAAGGGAGTCCAGTTCCCAACATCGCTATGTCTCCAGACAGATAACGCCAGCCAACGGGCCTCTTCTAGCTATGTATTCTTAGAATTGACGAGAGTGTCGTCCTGTTTGGTTGGCGGGTTTTTATGGGGTTTGTTTTTTTGTTGTGGGATGGTTTGGTTTTTTTAAGTGAGCAAATATGTTTTGTACGTACTTTCTTCCTTGCTTTGTTGTAACTCACAGTACAAGAGGAAAGGCAGATGATGAAAGAAAAGAATTGAGTCTTCTCTGCTCATCATGCTTTTCTTAGAGGACTAGACTCTTGTCTAATGATTAAGTTCTTTGGAGGTGGGCAACTGGAGTATAGAAAGTGTATATATGTAGCAGATTGAAGAGGAGCCTGATTTGCAGTTTTGGAAAGCAGAGCTTATGTTAAAGGATGCAAAATCCTGAACCATTAGAGCATAAAAACAGCAAACAAAATAATTAATAAAAAAAAATTAAAACCAGCTATATTTTTGGCCTGCTAGGATCAAAATGCCTTAGCTTTGCTTACATGTCAGAGTGGTCTGGAAGCCAAATCCTTAGGTTTCGCATAAATTATTTTTCTTTCCTTCCTTGTGTGTTAATCTCACGACCTGCTTAATTTTTTTTTATATAATCCATTTGTTTCTCTGGATTTTTCCCATCCTTTTGAAAGTAATTTTAAAGTCCATTGCTTTTACTGTAGCGGAGTTGTTGACTGAATCTCTTGTGCTCCTTAACTCACATATGATAGTCTTGTTTGCCTCCTCCTTACGGGGGGTGGTGGTGGGGGGTGTGTGTGTATATATGCAGCCAAACACGTTCTTATTCTGTAGAACAAGTTTAAAGCACCGTTAGATCTGCTGTCACTGTTGTCACCGCAACTTGCATTGCTAGCATGAGGATAGTGTGTGCTGTGTTCGTGTGAAGCCCCTCGACTTCTTTTAAGACAAGATTTAGGCTAGGCGAATACCACTGCCGTTCCTCTTGCTTGCTCACTTCCTCTCAAGGAGACTAAAATCTGGTATAGTCCTTTTTTATGTGAATAGACTCATAAGGACAATGTCAATGAGACACCAGTGAAGAATAAAATTTGGAGTAGCTGAAATCGTAGCTAAATGCTAAGTATGTTCTTGTATCACTTGCTTTTGTGCTTAGGCGTTTTGATATGCTTTTAAGTCACTGTAGCAGATCCACAATAGAATCTAAGGTTTCAAGTCAGTGAAAATTCATATATTTAAGAGTAAATTAATGAGCTTATTAATAAATATAACTGCGAAACAAGTCTTTTACAAGCTGATAGTATTATTTTTTCTTTCATCTCAAAGAAAATTGGAAATCTAGTAAGATACTAAACTTTACTGGGATGGATGAGTAGGGTCTGTGCTTGCTGTGTGAGGGGAAAGGAAATGGGAGGAGGATGTATAAATAACAGACTCCTAAAAATAACCACAAAGCATGTGTGGAAAACAGTAAAATCCTTTTGCTTCCATGGATTCTTGCCGTGTAAAGAGAAGATAAGCACTTAAAGTACTTAAAAGTATAATTATGTCCCTATTAGATCACATTATTTGGAAAGTAAACTTGTATGTTTGTTTTTTCTAGGTTCAAGAAGGCGTTTGAGTCAGAGCCAACATTACAGTCAGGAATTAATTATGCAGTACTCCTCCTGGCAGCTGGACATTGCTTTGATACTTCTTTTGAGCTGCGGAAAGTTGGTAATTATAGCTTGCAAATTCACAGTGAAATTGCATTCTAGTGAAAGTATGACGCCACCCACTGTCATAAGGGAAAAATTTGATGGTTGTATACGAATGCTTTCATAGTGAGCATGTGAATATTTAAGTTGGTCTCCCCCGCCACCATGGATCCCACCTGACTGCAGGTGAATGCTGTCATGAAGACCTGGTTCCAGTTTCAAGGTCTTCACTGGTTACCAGAGCTTAGAGAAAACTGACAGCCCTTCTTTGCAATGGCATCATTTGTGTGAAACAGGAACACCTGAAGGGGGCATCCAGTTGCTGCTAACATTCTTTAAAACACACGCACACCTCTGTAGAACTGTAGGGAATAGGAACAAAAAGTCTATTCTAAGAGTGGGGAAAACGCGCTTTACTTGAGCTTGGGATGGGCTGAGAGAAGAATGT